TATATTTTAAATAATTTTTTACGTTGTTGATGGACTTTATTCTATTTATTTATTTATTTGTATGTGGTGTTAAGAATCGAACCCAATGACTCACACATGCCAGGCAAGTGCTCTACCACTGAGCCTCAACCCAGCCCCTTTCAAAGTTTTCTTTAGCAAAACCTATGAATAAATAATAAACAGTAACTGAAAAGTTTTTACGTGTTAACCTGCTACACATCAGCAAGGATAGGGATTCTTCTTCAAGGAATCCCATCTAGATCAAGACAGCCTATTTTCCTGCCCATTCTCCTCATCTATTTTATATTTTACCTGGTTTCACCAAAGCTCCCCTCTTGCACTTAACCTTGGACCTATTTTTGCCACACTGTACACACACATACAAATGTCCCACTGATGCTGTGGTAAACCAAGACAGAAAGAAACTTCATCCATTCCATTGTGAAGCTTAATTTATTCTTAGGTTCACAATGAGAAAAGCCACAAAGTTAAAGGCATCAATAGATTTTTGGCATGCTTAAGTTTAGGGTCCATGTATAGAAAATCCATCTTTCATTCCACTGCCAGTTGAAAAGCTAACAGTTACAGAGCACTTAGTATACGCCAGGAACTGTTGTAAGCACAGGACATTTACTACCATTTAATCCTTTCAACAACCTTCAGAAGTGGGTATGGGTATTATTATTGCCCCTATATCCTACATGTGGAAATGAAAGCCCAGAGCAGTTAAACTTGCTGAAGGCCAAACAGTGAGTGGTAGTGCAGATTCAAACCAATGCAACCCAGTTGCAAAGACCAAGCTATACTATATTACACAACTTGCCTAACAATGCAAATCTGACACTTGCCTCATGCTTTAGTAGTAGTAGTAGTAGTAGTAGTAGAACCCAAGGGCACACTACCACTGAGCTATATCCCCAGTCTCTTTTATTTTTCATTTTGAGACAGAATTTTGCTAAGTTGCCCATGTTAACTTCAAACGTGTAATCTTCCTGCAACAACCTCCACAAGTCACTGGGATTGTAGGTGTGCACCACTACTTACACCCAGCTTGCTTCAAGTTTTTGATGATTCCACACTGCCTATATTATAAAATCCAAATTTTTCTGCACACTAAGAAAGTTCCAG